ATTTAAAAATTCACCCCTATTTTGGCAGTGAAACTGCACGCATGGACATGACCATCGACGGTGGAAAGTCAACGGAACGTTTGTCCACAAATGGACCATCATGTCCATTCGTTGGTTGGGTAAGAGACTTTTAAAGGTCATCCTTTATCCAAATACTAAGTCTCCACTAGCGCCGCCCATCGATGGGGCATCTATTGGACCATGAGCAGTCGATGCCTCCGTCGTTTGGGGTTGCCTGGGACAGTCTTGACATTTAGTTTGTGTCCTTCCTCAAGGACCCTTGGATGGTCCTTGGGGATAATTTCCCAAACGTTTCCAACCCAAATACGATCGTACATGAGTTTGAAACCTCTCACATAAATTTCATCCAAAATGAAAATGTAAAACTCGACAAAACACGTCAGACACACAAGGTCATTTCAAGGCACATCTTTCGAACATCACGGACGTTCTTGGATGTTTGACCTCCAAACTCCACGAAACTCGACACACTGCCTATACATGCTATAATAATTCATTTATAGACCTTAAAACCTCATGAATCACACAATATCATATAAAACCTTATATGAGGCACATAGGCGACTTAGTCTTCCCTTGATGTTTGATTTCCAATGCACCTAATACTTTAGCTAGTTCCTCTACACCATATATTATACCTATTTAGGACCTTATACCTTCAAGACCAACACGTTTGGCTCTAGTTCACCTAAGTAATTTTCGGGGTCTTACACATCTAGTTACTAAGACCTTCGAGTCGAGTTGTTCATGCCCATAACTTCCGCATGAATTCTATAAATCGAGTATCATTGAGAGGAGTAGTATCTCAAAGTTATAAGCCTTAAGTATTGAGTTCCTTATTCCTATATTGAGTTAAGAAGTACCTTTTAGTTCTCGATTTTTGTAGTTCTTGCTCATAATTCCGCATGAACCCCCCAAGTTGAAAATCATGAAATGATCCACACGAGATCATGAACCCTGAATCCATACTTGAATTCAAGAAAAGTTAAGAGTCAAGTCTATAAGTTAAGATCAAGTTAAATTAAAGTTTATAAAGTTTTCTAAAGTTTTTCACAAAAGTTTTCACATGGTTTTAAAGACTTAAAGTTCAAGTCAAGAAAGAGTGACGAGTTGTGTTAAATTCTCAAAAGCTATAAGGGAATTAAGTATTCCCTAAAAGTCAAGTTTAAAGTTAAATAAAGAGCAAGAGTTGAGTTCATTTCTCAAAATTTATAAGGGGACTAAGTATTTTCTAAAGGTTTACAAATGTTTCACATTTGAATAAAAAAGGGAACTAGAAGTTCCAAAAGAGTTTTGAACAAAAAGGGAACATTGATTCCAAGAGGAGCTTCATAAAGCTAAAGGGTTCAACAAAGAAAAGAAAGTTTCAATTAAAGAATGAGCTAAAGTACATTTTGAGAGTAGTATTGAGCACCGATGTGGGGATGAGAATTCATATTAACTCAAATCTCCATGTAAATCATGTAGCCACCATGAGAATTGACGGGTCATACTTTTTAGATGATCACGTAAGGAGAGCTAGTGGATCCACTAAGTTGAGTAAGGTCCTATACTGATGGCGAGGTGTAGGATGGTCCTCTTGCAACGTGAGGTAATACGTTGTACCCTTACTTAGGCTCATAGTGATGATTGTGGATTAGAGAAACTCCCACAATATTAGTTACATGATTCCTCAAGGGGTTTTCTTAGTAAGAATGGGGGTATGGGACTTCATTCATGGATTGCACAAGTAGACCTTGAGAGGGAGCATGATATGTTTTCATGATATTATTATCTTGAGTTAACATCATGTTTTTAAACAACTTTTCTTTATATTGCACTTATTTTAAACTGATTTATATCAAAATGAGTTCTAGTTAAGTATCAAAAATTAAGTTAAGTTGAGTTGAGTATCCATAGCCGAGTATCATATCTTTGAATTCAGTACTTGATCTCTGCCTTGAGTATCTTATTATTGAGTGCTCCTTGAGTTTCAAGTTTGAAATGAGGTAAGTATGTTTCCATTTTTTATTCAAGTATCATATTTATGTTATGCATTAGAATTCCCCTGAGATGCACGTACATTCCAATTATTGAGTCATTTGGCCTGCATCTTTTGATGATGCAGACAAAAGAATTCAGGATCATCAACAAGAGAGTCGTTGATATATTCCAGAGTTTGAGTTAGTCATGGTGATCCTCCTTGTTTCCGGAGGATTTCATTTACTTTTCATCTCAGATAGAAGGTCGTAGGTCTTGTCCCGACTTCCATCCTTATCGGTTAGAGGTTTCATAGCTAGTCAGTTTATTAAAGAAGTCTGTATTATTCATTTATCTTATTAAATGTTTTAAAGACTAAAGCTGCCTATTTTATGGCTAGTTGAATATATTATTTTATTCAGAGTTGTTGATTTGAGTTAGAGTTTCTAAAGTTTAGTTTTGAATTTTATTTAACTTTTCAAGCTTTGTATGCTTAAGGGAGTCTTCCGCTTGTAGTCAGCCAGGATGAGGGTTCGCTTGGGATTAGCAATGGTCTTCGAGTGTCGGTCACGTCTAGGTGTAGGCTCAGGTCGTGACAAACTTGGTATCAGAGCAAAGGTTTAAGTGTCCTAGGGTGTTTATAAAGCCGTGTCAATAGGATCTTATTCATGGTCGTGAGGGCCCCGCTTCTATGAATGAGGTACTATATGCATTTAAGAAATTTTTCTTTTTTTATACTATTAATTTGTGCGAAAGAGCTAAGCCATAGAGATCTATTCGAACTCGTGTGTTCTCATCATTTGACTCCCTATCATACTAGAGGTGGTTGAAGAGTAAAGTTTAAACATCCTTATGGATGAGTTTTTCCTAGAAAGAGTTTTGAGGAATTCATGGGACTCCACACTACAAGAAATTTGACTTTTAATGACCATTTCATAACGACGGGATTCAAATCTGGTCGTTATAAATGTACTTCTAACGTTCAAGAAATAATTTAGTCGTAAAAGTTAATTTTTAAATCAACAATTACGAAAGGATAATAATCAGTTGCTAGAAGACATGTCATCCAGTTGTTAAAACTAGATTAAAAAAAAGTCCCAGACATGATCTATTTGGGCTAATGTTAAAGATACTCAATTATTTATACTATATATATATAAATAATTTAATCATAACTCTCTAAGCTCTATCGTGTAAACTCCCTCATTCTATATATATATATATAT